TCTTGATTTTCTATTATTTCAGTCTTTAATTTTAGTACATAATAATATATAAATCTATTAATTTTAATTTTTTGAATAATTTATTATAAAAATAATAAATTTTTTTTATTCAAATAAATAATTAGAATTATATTTGACAAATAATAAAAGTATAAATCATTTTTTATAATTTCTTGAAAAAAAATATTTTTAGACCCACCAATATTCACCAGAATTCAGAAGTCAGGAGTGCGTAGGCCCGTAATTGGGCTTTTGATCCGACGTCGTTTAGTTCGCAATCCCTCCATCCCTTTCTTGTTGGCAAAGCCAGAGTGAGATCTGAAGAAGAAATACGAATTGAACTCGTTAGATTTCGGTTCTACTTTCGCTCACCCTAATTCTGTCGTCTCTCATCTCCTGTTACTTGTCTCTCTGTCTTCGCTTCTCCATTCGCCATGACCAAGCAACAAGCTAACTGGTCTCCATACGATAACAATGGAGGGTATACAACAGCTCTATACACTAGAACAATGTAACTACTTAACTTTTCAGTGCAAATGTTTGATCTTTTATAACCTTCGTGTTTGCAGAACCTGTGTTGCGATTGCCGGAGCTGATTATTGTGTTATCGCTGCTGATACCCGAATGTCCACTGGCTACAATATTCTCACCCGCGATTACTCGAAAATTTATCCATTGTATGCTCCTTTGCTTTGATATACTTAGTTTCCTCGTCAGATTATCTTATTAATCCGGTTTCTGTAATTTCATTGCTTTGTGCATGTATTAGTATGGGATAGATGCTTTATCTTGACTTTGGTATGTTATTTAGGATTCTTCATCCCTTGCTAGGGTTTATGAGAATTTAGGTGTTGCTGTGTGGTTAGTTTACCAAATTATACTAATTTCTACTGCATAGAGAATTGTCTTGGTTTATCTGGGAAGAGAAACTGTTCATTTTTGTTTTCACGTGATGAATTTCTCTACAAACAATAAAAGAGTGGAGGAAGATCAAATTTTCTTCATTACGTTTTTACTGGCTTTATAGCTCCTGATTGCAGTGTTTGATATTGCATTATCAGAATTATGCAGGTCGCTAGGGGTTATACTAGTAATTAGCAACATATTGGGGAATAGAAAAATGAGCTCGTTCCTTTGCTAAATGTTGTTATTTCACTAGTTTCTTGATGATTATCTGGATGGACAGAGGATAATGTCAATCATAAATGTTTCCATGTTAGATTGAATGTTCTGTTATGTCTTTTGGCCTTCAGTTAATGTTTAGATTATTGTTTTACTAGATTCTTGATGTTTATGTGGATGTAAATAGGAAATTTTCAATCATAACATTTCCTATGTGTAAATAATTATGATAGGATTTTTTTATCTGTTTTGACCTTGCAGAGCGGAGAAATGTGTGATGGCCTCTTCTGGTTTTCAAGCTGATGTGAGAGCTTTACAGAAGTTATTGAAAGCAAGGCACTTGGTGAGATTTCTTCATCAGTCTAATATTATATTTACACTTTTTCATCATCATCTGTGAAAAAGTGTTATATGGTATCTTCATGTAGGGATCCGTCTATCATCTTCTATTGTCTTCCCTTTTTTCTGCAGATTTTAAGGGTTAATATGTGAATCTCTCATTTGTATATCTAGTGTTTGATTGATCAATTACTATATTTTGACAAAATGAACTAGTTTATTTGGATACTGGGATGATGACTGACTATCTAGAATTTGGAGCCTACTTCTAATACTTTCTTCTGTGAGTGGGTAACCGTTAGTAAAGTAATAAAGAGGAAATGAAAAGAAAGAAAAATTGTTTTTAAAGAAAAGAAAGGAAGCATTTTTTCATTTTTTCGGATATTAAAAATTGTGGAAGTACAGGAAATGAAAGAATTGCTACAAGGGTTTATAAAAGAAAAGAAATGATTATGATAAGAAAATAGTCAACCATACTTATTAATAGAATGAAACGTTAGGTAGTAAGCAGAAAATTTTTCTTTTGAGGTTGTTGTTCGTTTATTTTCCATTCATCTTCCTCCAATAGAGGGAATAGATAAATTGGAGTTTTAAGGGAAAAAGAAACTCTTTCTTATTATTTTTTATCCAAACAAGACAAAGGAGTGTGAACTCTCTTTCTTTCCTTTCCTTTCCTTCCACTTCCCCCTATCCAATATATGGTGTTATTCTTTTTCCCTGGAAAATTAGAAATGATCATCTATCAATTAAGTTATGCCACTTTCAAACTTTTGAGCTTTTCTGGAAAAATACCTGTGATTCTCTATGTAGGATTTATGTCCAGTACCCTAGTTTATTGTTGGATAAATTCTAGTTGGACTGATGCCATAGTTTTTCAATTTCTTTTTTGGTCCTCTTCAAAATGCAGATATATCAGCATCAGCATAATAAGCAAATGAGCTGTCCTGCAATGGCTCAGTTGCTGTCAAACACCCTCTATTACAAACGGTTCTTTCCTTACTATTCCTTCAATGTTTTAGGTGGCCTCGACAATGAAGGTAAATGTTTACCTTATGGATGCATGTTTAAAGCTACCTTTTATTTTAGCGAAAAGAACATTCTTGTCTCCACAACCATTATAAACACTCTTTCCCTCTGAAAAAAATCATAAGTGATCACGCTATCCTTATTTTAAAACTTCAGGAAGGGGTTGTGTTTTTACATACGATGCAGTCGGTTCCTATGAGAAGGTTGGATACAACTCCCAAGGTTCTGGTGCTACATTAATCATGCCCTTCCTAGATAACCAGTTAAAGTCTCCCAGCCCTCTTTTACTGCCTGCACAGGTTTGTTGCAAAATTTTATTGTTTTTGTCCTTTATGCTTCAGGATATCTTAGTCTACATATTTCCCTCATAATTCATTTTCTTTCTAGGACGCTGTTACTCCACTTTCAGAATCTGAAGCAATTGATTTGGTCAAAACTGCCTTTGCATCTGCAACTGAGAGGGACATATATACTGTAAGTTCCTTTTCTTTAGTTTCCTCCAACTAGATGTACATTGTTTTCTTGAATTGTGAAATTGCTGTTGAATGCTTAAATTTCGTGTTTGCCCTATAGTGATGTATTGCAAATTGCTGTTCCATTGAGCTTTAAGTGTTTTTGTGGTCTTTGCTACCGTAATGTTGCTTTGTCCTTTTCTACTAGGAATATTTTGTTTGGACCCTTGCATTTTAAATCTATGCTTCAAAATAGAGATTATAGTATGTAGGACATGTCTGGGAAACGAATTTCTGGCATGTTTTGGTTTCAATGGAAGTTAGTGGCATGCCTTCCTGGACTGTAGGTGCTCGCTTCGCCACTTTAGGAGAGTTTCTTCTTCTAGAAATATGTGAATTTAAGTATGACAAAAATCTTGGCATGTGTTGTGTCTGACTTTTGATATTCCCGTTTACATGTTTGGTAAAAGGAGTTATAACTTTTCAAATTTTCAAAATTAATTATTCTTAATGAATAGAGTTATTAGATACTTTTTTAGTCTGTTAGAACTTCAAATTTCTTAACTTGAAATAAATTAGAAAATAAATTAGTTCAACATAATAATTTTATATTGACTTAGTTATTTGCTTAATTCATTTCATACCGTTGAGTTGCTTATTTGCTTAATTCATTTCATACTGTTGAGTTGCTCGACCTTTTAATCATACATGTTATATGCAGTAATTGCGTAGTTTATAATCTCTGCACTCTATACCAAATAGTTACCGAAACTTTTCGAGTCCCTTTTAGCAACTAATAAGCTCACTTTGACAAGAAAAAAGGCTGAGCACCCCCTTAATGCCCAAGGTGGAAGCTACTTTCTTCGTTTCCATATTGCCTGCGATTGATGTTAAGATCAAAGCTTTTAGTCAGATATTGTCCTACACCGTTTGCTTGCTTTGGATATGAATTTTACGTATAATGTGTCTAACGGATGCTCAACAGGGAGATAGGGTGGAAATTGTTGTCCTAAATGCTGGTGGCATCCGCACTGAGTTCATGGAACTCAGGAAAGATTAAGCTCTATCTAAAAACCTGCTGCTGGTGCCAGTGAAATGATACTAGGACCATGGGGCTTCCCGTTGCGGGTCTTTTAGTTTATTCTTGTGATTGCTCTGTTGCTTGTAGAAGTGGAAAACTGCACTTGATTTTAAAAGGAAATGTTGAAGTAGTCATTCCAGTTTCGATCTTAAGTTTCTTGTATGTTAACCATGATATTGCCTGATAATATGTAATTGACTTCATCCAAAAGTTGCTCTATTTTGCCCTTCACTTGGCAAGAGGCAATTTCATGAATGATAGTGGTTTTCATTATTTATATTGATTATTTAAGGGGTATTTGATGCATAGAATCAAAATTTTTAAGTGTCATGACTATGTAGTAACTACTATTTTATAATAACCTTGTAACAATTAATAATTATTGAATCTCTCTAATATGTTAGTTTTCTAACTATTATAAAATATTACCAAATCACTGTAAAATGTAAGTGTGAGTGTTTTTGAGACACCAGAGTCCATTGTAGCAGATCTTCGGAGATTGAAATTTATCATTATTATTTTTTTCACTCAAAAAAACTTTAAATATAATCAGCATGTACAGCACTTAATTTCTTCAAATGATTTCAGTACATCATGAATTTTGCCCTTTCTGAACAATCAGGAATAACAGCCATGTTTTGTTTGTTCAATTTCTTTTTGCCTACCCTATCATCAATAAAATTCATTGAAGATGTACACAGCAATACGTTGCATGAATAAGCATGGCCTCTCAGAAACTCTCTGCAGAAGACCATCCTTTTTTCTCCAATTCTAGTCGCAATGTCTGTCATTAAGGCCAAACATAGATGGACACATTTATCTACTACTTGCCTTTCTGAAGACAAACAGAAAAGAAACAAGCAAGAATTTGTGAAGACTTTACCTTGATTCTCTTCCTGTTGACATCAAAATCAAAATTCCCTAGTCGGGAGGCAGATCGATACTCCACAATGGAGTTCTTCCCTGGCGGAAACCAGAACTCGACATCATCTACAAACTGTGGCAATAATCAGAACCAAATAGAAACATGTGTAGTTTTTATCTGTGAACATAATGGTATGTATGAAAAATGAGTACCCCCAAAATTGGACTTTGATATTCCACGTGAACATAATCGTCTTTCTTTTCCACTATGCGAGGACTGTACTTGTCAGGTTTTGTGGACTTTATCTGCAAGTGAAGTGATTCACGTTTTTAGGCTTTCACCTTCTTTGAAGTTTGCCTATTCAACCACTCTTGCTTCTTGCAGGAAAAAGAGAAAAAGAACAAAATAAAATAAATCTTTACCACTTGAATAAGCTCCTCCATTGCTACTTCTCTGCTCACTGGTCTTTTCCTAGCACTCCCTCCATTGTAATTCCTGTTAAATATTTGATATTTCCCTCCATTGGCATCTTAATTTTTCCATAAGGCTTAACTCGAATATATGAATATACCCATTATATTTAAACAGGACAAGATGAGTTGCATGACTAAGTAACAATTTCTTCTGCACAAGTGAAAATTAAACTTCGAATATTAAGAATACCAAGGGGGAGTATAATGGGTGAGATCACTGATATTCTCGGAAGTAGATATGCAATTCCTCGTAGCTGGACAAAGTGCTAATGCCGGTACACTCTTCTGCACACCCAAGTACTCGGGCTTTTTTCCACTGCATCCAATCACAAATACTCCATATTGAGCCACTACGAATTGGAAACCGGAAATCTTACGAGTTAAAGAGAAGAGAAAACCGGAAATTGAATCAGAAAAACAAAACACCTACCTGAATTGGAAGATTGCGCCGAATACTGCTAATTCGCTGCTCCTCAGTATTATTTCTCTTTTCAATTTCAAATTAGTTTAGAAACTTCAGCTGCAGCTTAAAATTTATGTATGCGAACATAAGCATAATGAATAAAAGTAGCGAGAAGAGAAGAGAGTACCTTCGAGCCATTGGTTGAGAGAGTTTGTCTTCGGGATTTTGAGATTGAGAGACGACGGAAAGGGAAACTATGGAGCCGTTATGACATTTTCTGTAATTCTTGGAGTAATAGTAGGCACTTGGCAATGCCATTGAAGCCATTTTTGCTGCTTTTGTTCCGGCTCGAGCTCGGGTTCTGGTTCTGGTCGTCATTTCTCTCTATCCTTTCTGCGTTATATATGGGCCTGCGCTTTGATTGGACCAGAACTCAACCAGTCCACTTTCGAGGCACGGCGCCGTTTCTTTCTTGAATATTTTCTTTGACCACATTTTCTTTGTCTTTTTTCTCCGTCCACGGTTACTCTTTCCGTACAATTTTTTCCCCTTACTGTTTTTTTTGATCGAATAGTGGACCGCATTTCTCCGTCCATTTTTGAAAATTGGGTTTATTTACAAATTAAATCGTGTTTTACTATTAATATTTAATATTTAAAAAAAATATATTGAAATAATAAATTATATAAAATAAATATAATTATTTTTTAAAGTGTGATTAGTTATAAATTGTATCCGAACTTTCTCAATTTTTTCAAAAAATATAAGTGATAATTTTATAATAAATTTATGAAGTTACGAGCTTAGGAATTAAAGGAGTATAGGCTACTTTTTCTATTTTATATTTTATTTTGTTAATACATGAAAATTTACATTAATTGTTTTCATTCAATGTTACATATTGTAATATCCAAACTCGAAATTTAGTTCGGAATTAATTTTAAAATTAAAAATATATATATTAATTTTTAAATTTTTAAATTTTTATTTAATATAAAATTAAGAAAAAAATAGGTGTAGAATGAAATTGAAAATAATTTTTTTTAAAAAAATGTGAAAATTTAGATTCGAATGTATTTTTGAAAGAAAAATAAAAAATTAGGGGGTTAAAATGTAATTAAAAAAATACACCACGTAGTACTACCCAGTTAGCAGTCCCGATGAATTGGAGCGCGCCGCATAACAAGACACGCTGACTCGGTACCATGCAGGAGATCACGCTGGCAATCCGCGTGCTAGCAATGAATAACCTAGATTCGTTCCTTCTTTAAACGCGATCGTACGGTCGATATCAAATCATGATGAACGGTTCAGATTCATTTTTTCTTTAAACGCAATTAGACGGTCGAGATCAAATGCGATGAACGGTCCAGATTTAAGGGAGATGGGTATAAATATCTTATTTCACACCGAATCCAAACTCTAACTGTCAGGCCCCCGCCGGAGAAGAAGAACCAGTCGCCGGAGAAGAGAGCCGACTGCGCCCCCGCATCGCTGGTGTCACCTCCGATTGCCAGAAATATTCCCTTAGAATTTAATTTTGAACACCCCCATGGCCAAATTGGAGCAAAAGAAGCGGTGGATGAGCCGGAAACCGCAGATAAAACTCGGCGGCGCCACCAGTGTAGCACCCGGAAAGGAGGAGGAAAAAAAAAAAAAAAAAAGGGGGGGCCACGTCAGCAGCCACGTCAGCAGGCCCGGTCAGCAGTCCCGGCCAACCGGGGTCTGCCACGTGGCAAGATCGCGTCACTCCAAAAGGAGCCACGTTGGCGATCCGCGTGGGTGCGATCCGACGGCCCAGATCAATCGCGCGATCGGACGGCCCAGATTCAAACGCACGGACGGCCCAGATTCAATCAAAAACGAACGGCCCAGATTAAAACGAAATGAACGGCTGTGATCAAAAGGCAAGGGGTTATAAATAGAACCCCCACACCAGACCACAAACCCTAGCCGCCAGCCGCTCGCCGGAGAAGACGAACCAGAGGCCGACCGCCGCCACCCGCCGCCACTCGCCGCCGCACCGGGGAAATTTCCGACCCGCCGATCGAGGTAAATTTCATACCCCCGACTCGTTTTTCCCCACTGATTCCTCCTATGGCCAAATCGAAGCCGAAATCCCGGCCAAACGGCCGGAATACGCGGCCGAAGCCCAGCGGCGCCGCCGCGCCCCCTCTCGGTTTTTGCCTCCGACGAGGCCCTTCCCGGCCTCCGTTCGATGCAATTTTTATATCACCGTGATCACCATTCTTTTCTCTACAGGTTGACCGGAGCCGAATCACCAAAACACGAACCTCGCCGGAGAGCCGCTGCACCCGAGAGCGCCGCCGCCGGTAAGCTCCGTTTTTCCGTGATTTTTTGGCCCCCCGAGGGCCCTAGGGTTGTTTTCTGACAAGGACCAATGCGAGTGTGGCCGAATTCGGCCGAAAACAGCCGAAAACAGTCAACCCGAGGCGACTCGCCGCCGCCAGCGGCGGCGCCGTCGCCGGAGCACGGCGGAGCCGCCGTGCCGGAGTTGCGATTTGGGCCGAAAGAGGCCCTGGGCCTAATTTGGATTTTTTTTTTGGAACACGTGCAGGTACTGTTAGTGTGTTTCAGTTCCCCGGGAAAAATTCAGGGAAAATTAGGGACAGCCTGCAGGCGCACTGTGAATCGTATTCGGATCTCGAAAACAAGTAAGGACCCCTCACCCTATTTCCTATCACGGTATTAAAGTTCAAAATGATAAAACGGTATTTCTTGAACTAACGCATGTGTGAAATTGCTTAAGGTTGCTAATGGAGCCCGAGTCTAGTGTGATTGGTGATTTACTGTTATTTGGCCTGTTTACAGCTTTAAATGCAAAATGAGGTTTGATGTGTTCATTTTACAGATTTGTGTGCATATACTACGTTTTTATTAATCATGGGTTGAATGACTGAAAAACTGATACTGTATGTTGTCTGTTTGGCATGAATTACTGTTTGCTTGTTTAAATGTGAATTGATGATGCTGATTGAGGAAAAGGAGAATGAAAGATTGTGTAGACTGATGATTGTATTATGGGGGTCAGCCTGACTAGATATCCTGGGAGATGGTGGACGGACCGGATCCGTAGGGAACCCTACCGGGATTGTGGTCTCACATGCCGGACGGGGTATGGAGATCTTATGGTTTTGGCGCCCATACCGGACGGGGTATGGGGACGGCCCGTTTCACCCTCATCCCGGACGGGGTATTGAGGTTTATGGTTTTGGCGCCCATACCGGACGGGGTATGGGGACGGCCCGTTTCACCCTCATACCGGACGGGGTATTGAGGTTCATGGTTTTGGCGCCCATACCGGACGGGGTATGGGGACGGCCCGTTTCACCCTCATACCCGGACGGGGTATTGAGGTTCATGGTTTTGGCGCCCATACCGGACGGGGTATGGGGACGGCCCTGGAAACTGATTATGAATGTTAAAGGTTAACGGGTAGCGGAACCCCTATGGACCCCCACGGATACTAGTAGGCTGGTAAATGAGAAAAAGATATGTTGTACAATGATTGAATTACAAGAGGCGTGATAAGTGTTATGTTTTACAGCTTATATTATTCCATGATTATGATAATGTTATTATTTTTCTTATATTGTTTTCATAAATTCCACCGAGGTAAGTGGATGGTGAAGGTTTTCATGTTAATAAACGAGTTTATTGTAAATTATGCTCCATTGGTCTTTTTGTGTTTTTCTACCCACCTTTACCTCCGTGACGGTGAGATATCGTGATGTTCTTACTGGGCTAGTGTAGCTCACTCCTTATTTAACCATTTCAGATCAGGAAGACATGGTTCCCGAGCCCGTTCCACAGGAGGACGACGAAGGGGATGCCTAGAGACTCTGTAGTCATACTCATAGTTTTATTTTCGAGTTTCTCTCTTAGTTAGTTTAATCTTTTATATTTTAAGTACGTTTTTGGTTTTTCGTGTAAGGGATGTTAACTGAAATTTTGATCTCGCTTCCGCATTTGATATATTTAAATACTCATTTCATTTTAATATTTCCGGGGCCGTTACACATATTTTGCTAATAAAGCCATTTCTTAGCCTCAATAAGATTTATTGTATTATACAATAAGAAGAAAAACATAGGG